CATGAGCTCCATGTTGCATTGTAGATATACATAGACACCTACTATAAATAAGACTTGAAGTGTGCGAGGGATGTGTCTTCGTTGCCCCGCAGATAGGTGCTCAGAAACTGGGAAATCATATAGTCAGTAAAGCACCCAATGTAACCAGCGGGAACTTACATTTTTTGCCGTCGCAGTCTCATAGAGCTGCGCCAGGCCCGTGTCCGTATTGACGAGATTGCCTGCCATCAGGAATGCTGTGGAGAAGTCGTATCGCAGCGCGAGGTTGTCGCACTGAGGGGGTGGTTAGTGGGCTGCGCGACGCTCATGATGTAGGCACTTACGAGCTGCCTCATCTTGGCGACTGCCTTCGCAAAGTCGCGCTTGCGCTGGCCGACAGTGTGATTCGCCGCCCACACTTCGACCTCCTCGAAGGTCTCGAGGATGTCGCGCCAGATGTCGGCGTGCGCTTCTTTGAATAGCGCGTACGTCTTGGAGCGGATTTCGACGGTATCTGCCAAAGGAGCATCTGTGCGAGGCTCGCATTAGTATCTGTTTAGGGATGCAAAGTCCCTGTACTTACCTAGGCCGAGACGCTTGCATTCTTGCGCCTGGTTCATCTTGAAGTAGCGGCCGTAGATGTTCCAGTGGTTGCGGGCGGTGTTCACGCGGGCGTGTTGTTGTCCGAACATCGCCTGGACACGCGCCGCTGGCAGCCCAGAGTCCTTGCTGACTTGCTCCACGATGGTATTCATCTTGGCAAACCCTGTCCGCAGGATCTGGCGCACGTCGTCCGAGAGTCGCCCTGGGGTGCCGAACACGTCGTCGTCAGCTTGCTCTTGTAGGGCTTGCTCTTCAGCCTCTGCGGCCTCTTCATACGACATGCCAGGCACCTCATCCCACTCCGGGCTGCCATCGTGGGAGGTGTCATGCACCGCGTTGTCGCCAGACTCATCCATAGGGGAACCGGCAGCACTTGCCGCTGCATTGTCCGCGGTGCCTGCTTGCTGCGCGCTAGGCACATCCGTGGATGGGTCCTCCTGCGTACTCGTCGCCTTGGGCGTAGGCTCGAGGGCCCTCTTGGAGGGCTGGCTGTCGCTAGGAGGGGGTGTTAAGGGTCTGCAAGGAAGGGCTTGCCGTTGTGGAAGTAGGGGCTGGGGATCCGCCACCTGGAGGACGGTCCAGCCCGGCATGTCGCTTGGACCGGGGGGGGCTAAGGTGCTTTTGTAGCGCAGAGGGTCAGCGGGATCGGTGGGATGGATATGTGACGCGTTGGAGGACGCCCGCGAGCGCGGGGCTGTAGATGCGACTCGCGAGGATGTTGATGCCACTTTGGAGGGAGGTGCAAGGGGCTCTGCGGAGGGTCCTGCGAGGTCTGCACGTGAGACGCTGGATGGGGCTCGCGAGCGCAGCGGCGCCGCCAGGTTCTGGTACGGAGACGGGTGGTAGTACATGTTCAGGTTGTGGGGGTCGAGTCCGGCAGCACCGTAATGCGTGGGGGCAAAGGGTGCTGCGTGGTATGGGTACAGCAGCATGTCTTCACGTAGTGTGCGTGGTGCTGGCGCATAGTGCATGGGCTGGGAGCCTCCTGCATGCGCGATGGACCCTCCGGGTTGGGCAGGAGGCTCGGAGGACGTTGGGGCGGAAGAGGGATCCTCTTGCTCACTGCGGATGGTTGCGGCAGGGGCGCGCTCCTCTTGCACTTGGGGCGTAGTGTTCCGCAACTCCATAGAATGGAGGCCGGTGGTTTCGGGAGCGGCAGCCATCGCATCGCCCTCGCGCTCGGGGTTTGGGGGCGGCATGAGCTGCGCGCGGCGTGCCTGGGCCCTGTGGCTGATGCTGGTGCTTTTACCAGTCGGTTTGATTACCGTGCGCAGGCGAGTCGGGGTGGTCGGGGCAGTGTCCGTGTCTCGTGCCTCGCGAGAGCATTGTTCACGCGGTGTGGCCTCCTCATCTGCGTCTTCGCGTAATGACCGCGCTCCAGGCGGCGTGCTGGTCTTCACGCGCTGTCGCATCTGAGGTGGGGTTTGATTAGTATGAGACGCGTGGAGCGCGGTGTGCCGCTGTATGACATTGGATACTCACCTGAATGAAGTATCCCGGTTCTCCAATGTCCTCTAAACGCGTCGGCACTTCCTCCTGCTTGATCACGATCTGTGGGACCTCTGACCTGGGCAGCGATGGTGAGATTGGGTGTCGTGCGTGGCGTTGCAAAGCCTCTTGGAGATGGTCTAAGGGAGTTCGGAAAGGGCGAGAGAGTCGGGGTAGATTGGGCGTGGGAGCAAGAAAAAAGGAGGCAGCAGTAGGTGGAGAGACACGGCAGGAGGAATTAGATGGTTGCCCAGGATGAGGTGGGAGCATGGGCGTGAATGCGATGAGGATCACGAGGAGAAGAGGGAGGGCCATGGCGTTGAACGAGCTCTAGAGGACGTCGAAGAGGATGGTAGAGGACAGAACGGAAGCATGTGACCCAATTTGGATGGCTTGGGCCTCATGCAGGGATCAGCGAATTGATATCCAGTCGCCTGCTTCCTCGGTGTTACCCCATTTGGTATGCCTGGGAAGCATGCGCCCAGCTGCTTGGTTCCTCTGACTCCCTCACTGCTGTTCCCCGCTCGCATCCCTCTGACTCCCTCGGCGCAGTTCCCCGCTCACATCACTTCAACCCTCGCCGCCCCAGCGAGTGAAGGCTTCCGTCGGGATCGCAAAGGCGAGGGTTGAGGCCGGCTTCAACTCCGGGCATGTCACCAATGACATGCGTCGGGAGGTGATCCGCCATCAGAATAGCGGATGGTACCGCCGGCTCACCCTGAGGGCACGTGTGGCCCGTCAACTATGACGGTCAGCACCCCCAGTCCGCCCATTGCCTCAAGCGCGCGCCATTTAGGGAAATAGTTTCGGGCGGCCCCTCAGGCTCGATATGGTCTGCCCGAGGGTCTCTCGCTTCTCCGTGAGGTAAATGGGGTAACATCCGAAGTTAATAGTGTTATGATACATTGTTGCAAGATGAGTGGCACTAGTGTAGTACTCCGTGTCGTAGCAGAAATAGCAGCACACCTTAGACATTATCAATGTGATTGTAGTTATTTCGTCGTCAAGCGTACAGCGATGTCAACAACAATGTGTACACCGACATCTATTAATTGAACGTTCATCGGGCGCCGACATGCCACGGTCGGCATTCGGCCATCTGCCTCATGCCGCCCGGCTTGCCTTTCCAGATGGCCCTGCCGGTGCGTATGGCCACTGTGGCCACACGGCAGGCGGCCCAAGTGCCAAGCGGTCCTGTGGCATAACCGCGTGCCATTTAGGACAATGGTCTCAGGCGGCCCCTCGGGCTCGATTTGGTCTGCTCGAGGGTGCCCTGAGCGATCTGCGCTGCTCCTAGGCGCCCATGTGGCGCTCCTCGGAGATTAGTCCCCCTCGGAGATCAGTCCCCCTCGGAGATCAGTGCTGGCCCCCAGTCCTTCTGGGCGGCCGCAGCCTCCTGCAAAAGCTAGTTGTAAGAGTCCAATGTGAGCAAGCTCACCAAGCTCACATTGGACTCTTACATGTATACAACCTGCGCGTGAGCCCAAGGATCCCTGCCCAGGACCGCAGGATGATCCGATTACTATGGACCATTGATGGTTCTTCGGCCTTGATTTAGTATGGCCGAGGTTCGTGACAGGGATCTGCACTGGCATTAGGCGCCCATACATTGAGCGCTCCTCGGTGCTCGCTATGATGCTCCTCGGTGATCAGTACCTGGTGCTGCAGCCAATCCCCGCGCGAATAAGGGTCCACTGATCGAGCTGCAGGACGGTCGAAAACATACTTGCAAGTCATATACAGGCTGTTTTTGAGCTTGCAATGCCTCCAATTTTGCGCGCTTTGCTCGCCAACGGGCTTGCACATCGCCTGGGTACATTTGGACACCAGCGGCATTCTGAAAGGCTCTGGGCAAAGCATAAGGTGCACGGTCTAACCCTTGGGGCAGACTAGATTCTCATAGGGCTCCTTGTACGCTTTACTGCCACCATGGGCAGAGGCGCCAAATACTTCACTGCCGCAGACAAGACCTTTGCCACCAAAAGGCGCAAACAGGCTCATGCAGCTACTCCAAGGTATAGCTACTAACCCCCGCCCTATCCCTTGCTAACCAAGCGTGCAGCATCAAGGCCAGCCGAAGGGCTCAGAACCGGCATGCATATCTGCATCGCCAGCGTACATTCATGTTTCAATGACGCCGGGTTACATTGCTAAAGACCACCCCTCAGTTGAGGGCTCTCTAATACCCTCTCAGGTCCACCCTCTGAGGCCCACAGACCATCATGACATCCCCCCCGATGTCCTCACGGACGCGCACCTGCCCCTCCGCTCTCACCCGCTGCTCCTCAAGGCGCTATGCAATACGCCCCTCGACTTCAACCCTGCTAATGCCACGGCAAAGCAGATGGAGGCCGTCCTGCGTGGGCAGGCCTGGCGAACGTTGCACGACGAACGGGATCGTCGTATACGCTTGTGGAACGAAGGGAGGTTGGACGAATTGCGAGGGTTGATAGAGCAACACCTCGCCGATGCGTGGGAGCATCGGCAGGTTGCTCATGCCCAGTGGGAGGAGGCTGCCGCGGAGGGTGTGGACGATGACAATCGCGCACAAATTGTGACGTCGACCCGGGCGGAGTTCGCAGCCAAGGAGGTATTTTGCGACCTGTGGGAGCTCACGCAGCTAACGCACATGCCAGAGTACTATGGTGTATTCTATGAGCTAGCATGTTTCCCCTCACAGCGGGTCATGCTCGTGTATGAAGGCGTGGTTATTGATTCAGTATACTAAGTTTACGTGGATACAGCGCGTGCTAGCGTGAACAGGAATATGCGGAAACGGCCTATGTCTGCCTCCTCGAACCCCGTCATGTCATACCCACGCAAAACTGCCGCGATGACGGCCAGTATCCATACGCCGCAGTCATATGTGTTGTGCTGACGTGCTGCTGTCTAGGGACTGGGTGAGACTGCGCCTAGCGGCGTCGGTGAATGCTACTTACCGTGGTCGGATACACGGCCCATGCACGTTGCGCGTGGACAATGCAATGACCCTTATCTGCTGCAATATTGAGCAGGCGCGCGGTGAGCTGCATGACATCCTGTCGATGCCAATATTAGGATATGCAAGACTTTGACGCCATAATTACTTACCTGAATATGACCCTCCCATGGATGCTCCCGGGCAAAACTGTCGAAGTAGGCGACGCGCGACCGGGGAATGTCAATGGTCGCCAGCATCCAATGGTCCTTGTAGTGGATCGGGATTGTCCATACATCCTTCTCCCAGAAACGTGTGCTTGCCGCATTGCGCCAGAGGGTCGCATCGCCGGCATCTGCGCGCACTAGGGGGAGCATGTATGTGGACAGGAGTGCCACCCGCTCACCTCCTGGACCCAGGAAGACGAGTTGGAGGAGCTGCATGCATGCGTTGATGCAGCTATCATTCATCCACGCACTCCGGTTCTGCAGGCGACTCATGTTTGACACATCGAGGTGGACGTTGCTTTGCAACAATTGCAAGAGGACCGGGGCCGTGGCTTGCAGGAAGTGGGGAGCGTCATCAATGGAGACATGGATCTGCGCACATTAGCGCAAGTGCGGTATCACGACAAGGAAGACTTACTGGAGTCTCCCATGTCATGGTTATTGTCATGACAGATGCCTCGGACCTTGCATCCTCAGGGGGCCCCTCGTCGCCACTAGCGTCGTCCAGGAAGACGTCCTCCACCAGATGCTGTTCTGCCTCGAGGTATGACAGTTCCTCCTCCTCCAGACGCCCATAGGGGTCTGTATCATCTTGATGGATGATGTAAGGGAGGGGAGTCTCGATGACGAACGGCCATGCATACACTTGAGGATCGCCGAGGGCGCTGTTGACCGTCTCGGACGCGAGTGTGGTCTGTGCGTCAAATCGTTGAGGTGAGACCAGTGGGTTCTTCCATTTGGCAGGTAGGAGCAGAAGCTCGCAGACGCGTTGCTGTAGCAGAAACGCGATATCCGCATCTGGTAGGGTCCATGGTTAGTGGAAGGGGCGAGTGGCGCTAGCGATGGCTTGGTGTACTTACTGGATGATGTCGCCAATGCCAGTTTGGCGGCCGCAAGCTCACTACCATACCAACGACAGATGTTGTCTGCCTCTCTTCCTAAGCGGTGCCGCTCCTCTAGACAATGGTCTCCAAGTAGGAGCACGCGAATACCCTTGCGGACGTCGACGTCTTCGAGCCATCGGGGGGCTTGAGCTTGTGAGGGGTCAATCCAGACATCGGCGAGGAGGCTGGCGTCGTCGCGGAGGGCGTCGAGGTCAGTGGGAAGTGGAAGGGGTACGGTGATGGTCCACTCCGGCTGTTTGAGTTCTTTGAGGGTCTCGCAATAGTGATTGAACTTGCGGATCGCTGTCTTGAGGGCGGGCGTACGCTTCGCAATTGCTTTGCGGGTCTGCTGATGGATCTTGGTGCCTATGTGACATGTTAATAGTGAGCGCTGTGCCCCGATGTCTCGCACTCACCTAGAGGGTTGTGCCGTCCACCGACCGCTTGGTCCAGCCGATCCCATTCAAAGAAGCTCCCCACTGCGCGCTTGCGAATGTTGATCTTCAGGTCGTGTGCCATTAGTAGCAGCCTCACGAACTCGAGGCTGATGTTTCTGAAGTCTGGGAAGCTGTCCGTGATGTTGAGCGATGAGTATAGGGCCTCTACCTTATCAACCAGGCGTGTATGTGATCGTTCGAGTCTCGCGATGACTTCATGGGACTCGGCAGACGCTTCACCATTTTCAAGGACTGTCCGTGTTGTTTCGATAGCCTTGTTGACAGTGTCAAGGTCAGCCTGCAGGCTCAACACAACGTCCAGCTCCTTCTTGAGATGCGCTGGAGCATCTGTGGGAGGGTCAGCATTGGTATCATGATCATAGCAGATGCCTTACGCGCTCTGATAGATGTCTGCGCTACGCATTGCTGCTTCCATTCGTCTCGTAGCTCCTCCTTGGGAATACCTACTCGCGCCAGCTCTTCAAGAGACGACGCCTCCCTTGATTCCACTCCATGGCGTAGGCGTTGGGCGATCCAGTGGCCCAGATCGTCACGCAGATCAAGGCTGATAACCTTGGCCTGACGGTCGATCAGCCAGATACGCCGTGATCACTGTGAGCGGTCATGAGAGGCATGATGCGGCGGAAACATACATGTGCTTACCGCAGACGAGCGTGTGATGGGAATGAGCTTACAGAGCCTCGACCAGAGCCTCTCAATGCCCTCACCATCGGTGAGCCCGAGGCCTTCGCGTAAACGGGGGTTGTAGACGATCTGACAGGCCCATTGATGGCCGTACGCGTGCATTGTGGAGATGGCGAATATGAGTCGTTGGTGGATATCAACAGGTAGGATGTTGTACTATGGGCAGTGTCAGTGTGTTCTCATGAACATGAGGGTTAGGGGCGCTCACCAGTTCGAGGCTGCGATCGACAACACAGCCAATGTCGTACAGTGCCGCAACAGTCGCATTGGGGGGGAGGAATGTAAAGAGATGCTCGAGGAGCGCAATCGCATATTTCTGTTGCTCGCCTGGAGTATCTACGTTAGCTAGGAAAATGGGTATGTTGTGACGGCAGATTAGGGCCATCACGCCGGTATCGTCGAATCGATTCGCACTTGTCTTGACTTTCTTCTCGTCCGCGGCCTTGTACGACTTCTCGCACTCATCGACGATGTGCGCAGGCACCTTTGGAGCGCATGAGGGTCGTGGAGGCTTCTTGCGTGCTGCAATGATGCGCCGGCCGCATTCGTCGACCTGAGCCTTAGGGATGAAGAACTCGGGTTCATAGAAGTGCGGCGAGTCGCCCGCATGCATGCTGTGACGTTGGCTGAATGTCGCATCCAGTGCGACATGTATGTCCGCTCCCCTGTAATGAGACGTCAATCAGCAAGTGTAGTGGACGGTCAAAGCGACAATGGACTTACTCATCAAACGACCGTCCGAACGCTGCTCCTCCAAAGCAGGCTGGACACCTCGTACTCAGGAGCCTCGCACAGCGTGTCAGAGCATCCACCGGGGGAGGTGTGCTCAGCGCATGCGCATCGTGGTTGTCTACCAGAGTGTCGACGGGATCGGGGGTGAGGTGAAACATTTGTCTCTCCGTTCTATTCCTTGTACTACTAGCGCCCATACTGGCGCCTGTCTTAGCACTCACCCGCAGGTTGAACATTATGTAGCTTACATAATGGGGTCCGTGCGCACTTCGTACTCGGCATCGTACCACTACGTTTCTCTCTTCACTAACATGACCACATAGACACGATGGTCCATGCGCAGTCGGTACTTGTATAAGTAGTTGTACCATTAGTCGGTCGAACCCTAAGTTCGACCTGGTTATTCATTCAAGTCTCTGCTCCTCTTCACTTGGGGTAGTGGTCATTCTCGACCTCCTCGCTCGATCTTCAGGACGACGCACTGTCCATAAGCCCTCACTCGTCGTCTACGAGTCAGGCATCGACACAGGAGTATAGACCGTTGTATCACGAGGCATGCATGTGCAGCATCGATCGCAGCATCGAGACGATGCTGAATTGAGTGACGGAGGGTGTCATACCACTGCGTGGCATACCCAAGGCCGCGTCGAAATGGATCACGGATGGGGTCTCCCTGTAGAGCTCAGGTTGTCTCGATGATGGTCTAAGGGAGGGTACTTACCTTATGGTCGAGGGTCTGGAAACCGCGACGCGCATAGTGAGTGCGCAAGGCGCCAGCCAGTGCAGTCACCGCGTCAGCAGAGCATTCGAATAACGCATGATAGAACTCCAGGAGGTCTATGGAGACAGCGGTGCGAGGGTGGGAGGGAGAGACTGGAAAGAGGCCATGATGCACAAGGACCTGGGGGATACTATAACACCGACAGGCCTTGACATCAATGGCAATTAGATCTATGAATCTTATTATTCGTACATTGAGAGGGGACATGAACTATGACTTACGGCTCCAGTACAAGCACAAGATATTCACTCCTCGGGTGCTGCAGGACGAGGCCTCGCAGAACAGTTCGACCCGAGTGCACGAGGTTGAAGGTTGCCGGTACGATGTCTGCATATATTGGAGGAGAGCCGGGACTAGCTTGGGAATGAGAGCACGCCACCAGTCGAATGTTTTGTGTGCCTCTGCATCGGGTAGCAGCCGTTTGCTACGCTTGGCTGGGGGTGAGGCGTCCGATGGCTCCTGGACAGGGATTTCCTGTTCAAAGGGTTCGGGTTCAAGATCAGGTGGTAGGGCGTCCTCGGGAGGGGGGGGGGAGTAGAAGCATGAGATTCTAAAGCACGCAGACGGGCTAGCAGTGCCAATGTACGAGTATCACCTGGATGACTAACTAAGACCTGATCTTTTTTGCCCCCGAGCCGACGTTTTTGGGGGGTCAAAAAGTGCGCCCCTGTGCGGGGGATGACCTTCTGGTTATCGCGCATCCTCGGTGGCTGCGATCGGGGGGGTGTCGCAGGACATGGGAGCAGGTCGTCGCCGATCTGGAGAGTACTAGGTGGCGGCATGGTGAAAGCGAGAATATAGCCGGGCGAGAGAGCATAGGAGCTAATTTGAAATAGCAAAGACATGGCATCAAGATGTAGACAGGTACAAATATGGCGAGGGTACACAGAGGCTGGGGATGGTGGAGCGTCCTAAGGTACGGCGGAGGAGCGTCCCAAGGAGGGCGGGCGGGCGTCTAACCCGCCTCGAGGGTGCGATCAGGCACATGCATATATCCATATCGGGATATAGGCCCTGATCTCCCCCTGGGGATGGTGTTCGTTAGACCCATTTCCCACCGCCCCGATGGGGGTCTACTAGATACCTCCAGGACC